AGAAATGATACTGAATAAAGCAGTGTTTTGCTGCCTATCCACAATTAGGATGCCAGTTCATGATGCTGATTTGACTAGGCACAAGGTCTCTTGCTCTTTTTTTATTTCTGAAGTTTATCTGTTCTCCCTCATCTTGTGAATTGAACCACTTCAAAACCAGGTATTAACCCTTACTAACCACTGTCCTTTGCATAATTAAATACAAAATCCCAAACTCTAACCAACTTCTTTTAGAGCATAAACAGTTCATCGTCAGTCTTGGATTTGCCTGATATTCGGTGCCTATGCCTGATTGGTTCCTTTAAAAGAAAAGGTCATTCTACTGACATCACCTCTTACTGTCTCCTTATTCATTCTTTAACAAGTCAGATATTTTATAGGATCACTCTTTTATAATAGCTGTTAGTTTATCCTAGATAGGATGGCACCAGTGAACAATTAATGTGCTTGCTTTAGAGTACATAGTGTCACTTCCTAATTACCATCTGAAACATCTCAAATAATACATCTAAGAATTCTGGAAAATCTACCAATATCCTTTAGTTACAAAAGCCATGTAGAAATACAAAAATTGTTTAACAACTGTTGTGAAGTTGTATAGAATATTTGCGGATCGGGAGAAAGGACATTAGAATTTGGTGCTTATAAAATGTTGGTGTTTATAAAATGCCAGGGGGGAAAAGCAGTGTGTGTTCCCTTTAAAAGATGATGTGCTTTTTTTATGCATAGAAATTCAAAAAGGATGCTTGTGGGGAACAGCTTGTGTGTTTGCAGGCATCCAGAGAGCACCTGAATTGAAACATTTGTATCAAAAGGCTGTACAGTTCGCAGGCCAAGTAACAGTTTTGTTATCAAGACAAGTTTTTAATTTAGCCAATCAATTTCAACCAGGTACTTAGATACCAAAAACCAGTTAAATTTAACTCTAATAGTTTTGACAACATAAGACCAATCCTTTTGTAAGAAATTGATATATCATTAGAGTGTAACAGAAAGGCAGTTGGGCAAAGATAGGGGAACTAACTGCCATCTGCCAGAGTTAACAGCTCTTAGCTCGTGAGAAAATCTCTAACTCTCACAGGCTTCTCTAAGTCTTAGGGAAAGCACCATCTAAGAAAATTCAAAGGTTCCAATGGCACAACTAGTTAATATTCCTGATAGAAGAATCAACAGAGAAGGCACAGAGCATTCCAGAAGACACGTAATCTGGCTGTAATTTCAAGAGACTAAATTATGTTTTTGTTATTTCGTACAAGTGGGATTTGTATTTATTGGAACAGCATACTATTAGAATCTTGTTTTATTCGGGAATAGTTAGTAGTTAGAAGGGATTTATTTGGTTTGTTAATAATTTAGTCAATTTGTTCACTGTTGGAGTTAGATAAATAAATTGTTTCTTGCTGATTGTAAAGTGAGTGTTTGGAATTTGTTTTATTTAACTACTAGAAGTTGCTGAAAGGCAAGGTACACCGTTTTTCACACTTCAGATTATAGGGTGAGGCGCTCCTCTTTGGGTGTTTCAGTTTTAGTTTTTTGAGCGGGGGGGCGGGGGGGTGGTCAATCTTGCTTTATAACACAACCGAGCACAATTAAACAGAATATAATTAAGTTCCTCTTTTACTTAAGCAAATCAAAATGATTAACTGGTCAAAAATTACTCAATCCTGCACTTAGAGTCTTAGATGTACAGCACAGAAACAGACCCTTTGGTCCAACTTGTCCATGCCACCCATCCTGAATTAATCTAGTCCCATTTGCCAGCATTTGGCCCATATCCCTCTAAATCTTCCTATTCATGTACCCATCCAGATGCCTTTTTAATGTTGTAATTGTACCAGGCTCCACCACCTTCCTCTGACAGCTCATTCCATATACGTACCACCCTCTGCGTGAAAAAGTTGCCTGTGGGGCCCTTTTAAATCTTTCCCCTTTCACCTTAAACCTATATCTTCTAGTTTTGGACTCCCCTGCCCTGGCAAAAAGACTTTGGTTATTCAACCTGTTGCCTAGTTCCTCCTCAAACAAATTTGACAACCCTGATCAGAATGTTATGAATGAGTTTGCTCAGGTGTCCCATAATATCAAAACGGTCAAATCAATGTGAACACAAGCTAGTATCAATGCAAAACTATCTCAACATTATTAGGAACAAAGTTATAATAAACTTTAATACAAAACATACTATCTCCAATCTTATTTGGCCCTTAAGATTGCAATACTTCCCAGTGTCTCGTAGATTTACGCAGTCACTCTCTGTCTGGCTCTGTTTCTGAGTATGCTAAGCTGCTTTCTTCCTCTGTTTTTTTCTCTCTCCTCTCTGGATGGTCAGCTGGTCACTGCCTCGTGCCATGCTGGCCTCCTCAGAAGGCCTCTCAAGATTCCAAGAGCTTCAAAGAGAGAGGTCTACAGATGAACCCTGTTTTTATACTTTTTAGATGGTTTTCTGGAACTTTATATAGTTCTGGCCAATCAGGGCGATACCACTTAATAGTTTGAAACAGAGTCAATCATTTGGGTGGCATGCTGCTGTTAGTTTCTTTGTGCAGCAGGACTTGGTGCCTTTCTGTCTGAGCCCTTGTTTTATTGGTGGATAAATTGTTGGGGGTATGTCTGTCCAGGATAACTGTTGCCTTTTACATTATGGTAATGTCATCAGCACCTGGATGCTGTGTCTGGTGCGCGGGTTTTGTGATTTCAGAGTTTTGCTTGATCAATGTACCCAGCATCCGTTACTGTTTGGCCAAGTTAACAATCTGTGTTTTAGCATACCCCTCATGATTTTATAAACCTCAATATAAGGTCACCCCACAGCTTCCGATGCTCCAGAGAAAATATTCCTAGCTTGTTCAGCCTCTCCTATACCTCAAACCCTCCTTTCAAGTTTCACACCATCTTTCCTTTAGCAGGGAGACAGAATTGAAAACAGTATTCCAAAAGTGGCCAAACCAATGCCCTATACAGCTGTAACATGACATCCCAACTCCTGTATTCAATACAGTGACCAATGAAGGCAAGTGTACCAAATGCTGACTTCACTACCCTGTTTATCTGTAACTCCACTTTCAAGGAACACTGAACCCGCACCTCAAGATCACTTTGTTCAGCAAGACTCCCCAAAACCCTACCATTAGTTGAATAAACCTGGCCCTGATTTGCCTTATCAAAACGCAACACCTCACATTTACCTAAATTAAACTCCATCTGCCAGTCCTCGTCCTATCTGCATTTAGTCCACGTTTATGGTATGTGACACCTTTCTGTTTATTCTCAGTGCCCTACTGTTCCTACTGGATTCTTTGAGTTACCCTTCTCTCTATGGAGGCTGATCACCATCTTGAAAATCCTGGATACAAAAACGGAATGTTCTCTGAGCAATCACAGATTAGTTTATAATTTTGGTTCAACACTAGACTATTTAGATTATGTTGATTTTAGTTATATGGTTTAATCCAAGTGCAGAAAATTTATTTGTAATTCTGTGTGTGTTTGATATAAGTTTGGAAACAACGTAAATAAGAAAGCAGTGGTGAAAACGTGCAATGTCATGACAATCGAACTAGAGCACATCAGTGTGCACCTGGAGTTTTAGAAACTAGCATTTTACTCTGTGAATGGTGAACCCTTGCTTTGAATACATAATTACTCAACTTACCAACGTGTTTGGGCACATTAGGACCTAGGGATCTTCTGAAAGTATTGTTGTCTCGATTACATTGCTTAATGGTCTGTCTTCCTTGCACTCTACATACTGTACGTTTCTATTCCAGAAGCCTTCACTTGTTATCATGCAGCGGAAGCATTTGTTTCATGTGAAATTAATGTGCATATTTTTCTGCTGGCCTTTGTAATTCCTTCTTGAATGTCATGAAAAAAAGTAGACACTCTGCATTCTTCTGAGTAACAAATATGAATTAATTTTGATATATTAGCAAATCATGAATGGTAGAGCAAAAAATAATCCAGTAAATGGACCCTTTAAAACAATTGTACAGCACACTTTTAACTGGACAAACTCTCCATTTTCCCAGTTTCTGAATCACCATCATATACATTGCAGCTCTGAATAGATTGCACCTCTTGAGATCAGAAAGAATTGTATATTATGTAACAGTCATATATTGTATTGATGGTATTGAGAATTGTCAATGGAGAGCTTCCAACTGCATTGTGTTGCTGTTGTTAATAATCGTGTATGCTGCATTGTGATGGGAGTCTGCTGTTGTACACTGCTGTTGTAACTAATTTACATTTAATTTTTGCCATCATTTGCCGTTTTGGTGGCATTTGTTGTGATCACAAATCAGCGTCCAGTATTTAATTGCCTTCGTACCAGACATTCCCTTCATGGCCTGACCATGGGAAGAGATGTAGCCTCCCTATTGGCCTTCCTTCTGGCATCATTACCTGGTTTGCACTATGCAGCTTTGTCTCACCCTGGCTTTCCTTCCAGATAGCATGGGCCCCCAGCCTTGTCTTCCAGCTTGCTCCACCTCAAGCCTTGTATCTCCTCTCCCCTGACAAGACCCTCCCTTTCCTATAGCTTGCTGTACTATTTTTATATTCACTTGGGGAATGTGGGTGTCACTTGCTGGCCAGCACTTATTGCCCATGCCTAGTTCTTCTTGAGAAGGTGATGGTGAGCTGCCATCTTGAACCGCTGAGGTATATGTGCTATATGTAGATCCACACTGCCCTAAAGGAGAGAAATGATCCAGTGACACTGAAGGAACGCCAATATATTTCCAAGTCAGGATAGTGAGTAGCATGGAGGAGAACTTTGCAGGTGGCGGTGTTCCCATGTATCTGCTGTCTTTGTCCTTCTAAATAGTAGTGATTGTGGGTTTTGAAATTGCTGTTTGGTGAATTTATGCAATATCTTGTAGACGATAAACACCATTACTACTGAGCATTGGTGGTGAGGGAATGAATGTTTGTGGATGTGATGATTTGCCCAGCACGTTTGCAAGCATCTTAAATGTTGTTAGAGCTGCTGTCATCCAGGCAAGTGGAAGATATTCCATCACACTCCTGACTTGTCCCTGGTAGATGAGGGACAGAATTTGCAGAGGTGAGGTGAGTTACTCAAAAGTTACACTTCTAGCTTTTTACCGGTTTTTGTAATCACAGTATTTATATTACTAGTCCAGTTCAGTTTCTAGTCAATGATAACCCTTAGGATGATGACAATCCCATTGAAAGTCATGCGGCTATGGCACTTAGGTAGCACACTGAATATTGCCCGGGTCTTGTTGAATTTGGACATAGACTGCTTCAGTGTTTGTCCAACCTTATGATAAAAAGAAGGTCATTGATGAAACAGCTGAAGATGGTTTGGCTGAGGACATTACCCTGAGAAACTCCTGCAGAGATATCCTGGAACTGAGATCCTTGACTTCCAACCAGGACAGTCATCTTCCTTTGTTACAGATATAACTCTAACCAGCAAGAAATTTCCCCCTTTACTAAAGCTCCTTAGTGGCACACTCAGTCAAATTCGATCTTGGTGTCAAGAGCAGTCACAATTACCTCACGTCTGGAATTCACTTTTTTTGTACATGCTTGAATAAGACTTAAATGAGGTCAGAAATAGTGTGTCCCTGCTGGAACCCAAACTGAGCATCAGTAAACAGGTGATTACTGAAAAGTACTGCTTGATAGCACGGTTGATGGCATCTTCCATCACTTTTTAACTATCAAGAGTAATTGGCCAGGTTCTGATTTCTGAAGAAGGATCAATGGATGTAAAACGTTAACTCTGATTTCTGTCCACAGATGCTGCCAGACCTGCTGCATTTTTCCATCAATTTCTGTTGATGTTTTTGTTTTGGATTTCTCCTGCATTTTATATACAGGACACACATCGACACTTTTCCACTTTGTCATGTAGATCCCAGTGTTGTAGTTATACCAACTGTCATGTTCTGGAGCACAAGTCTTCAGGACTATCGCTGGAATATTGTTAATGTCCGTAGCCTTTACAGTATCCAGTGCCTCCAGCCATTTGTTGCTCTCACATATAGTGAATCGAATTGGTTGAAGATTGGCATCTATGATTTTCAACAGTAAGAATGTCTGCAAAAGGGCAGGGAACTCTAAACACCGCTGAAGGTGTATAAGCATTTCTGATTAAAGTGGCAGAATGCACTGTTTTGTTTAGAGCCACGCATCCTCTCTAAAGAGAGCAGTGCAACTACATTGAAGTGGCCAAGACAGTTTGATGCCAATGTAACCCTCTGCACAGACTAAAGGATTTCCACAACCATTGCCATTCATCAGATTTGCCCTATAATTTGAGACAGTGGATTTGATCCTCTAGGTCTATGTGACTTTTATTCTGTACACTTCTGTCCTGAAATATGTAATGAACACTCTCCTGCTACCTCAGTAAAAAGAGGTGCTTACCTAGTTCCCAGTGAGCACAAACTTCAAATCACAGAGTTTCCATAATTAAATGCCAGCTGTCTGTCTCACTTGAGAAGGCTGTGTCACGTAGAAATGCCACAGCGATGCAGGGAGCGTGTTCTTCGGATTCATTTTCAGCATGATGGAAGAACTAATTAATGCTTCTGCACAGTATCTCCACCATGCTCATTTCAGGTATGAGAGTTCTATTCTCCTATTAAAACCAATAGAATTACTTATTTCATCAATCTTTAAATTATTTCAATGCTCTGTCTGATAATGCAGCTGCTTTGAGCTTTTATATTTAACAGTTAGCCTTGAGAGGGTTATTAATGTAAAAAACCTTTGTTGTGTTTTGAAGAAATTACCGTCTTATTACCACATCATTGAGCACCAAATATCGTTTCTCCTTGTGGAAAGCAAAAATGCTTTATTATACACACACAAATGGAGTACTGCAGATCATGATGTGGTCCTTTGGGTAAAAGCTTAATTGGGTACTTGAATGTTACCAAGATGCACCAAGGAATCATTCTAACTCATGTGATTGGGCAAGTTGTGTGCTCATATGATGAATAGCATCAATTGTTTTCATAGAATTTATCTTATTGCGATTTTTATAATTACTGAGCGAACTATATTTTGTTATCAGTTGATAATACTTTGAGGTTGTAGACTTGCTGGCCGAGCTGGTGGGTTTGGTCGCAAACGTTTCGTCACCCTAGTAGGTAACATCATCAATGTGCCTCCGGTGAAGCGTGGGTGTTCTGTCCCACTTGTTATTTAGATGCCTCGGTTTGCTGGGGTGATTGGCATTACTTCTGGTTTTGTTTCTCAGTGGTTTGTACACAGAGTCTAATTCAGTGTATTTGTTGATGGAGTTCGGGTTGGAATACCGGGCCTCCAGGAATTCCCTTGCGTGTCTCTGTTTGGCTTGTGCGATTATCGATGTGTTGTCTCAGTCAAATTCGTGTCCCTCGTTGTCCATATGTAGTAAGTGAAAATTGGTCATGTCTCTTGGTGGCTAGTTGGTGTTCGTGTATCTGTATCGTTAATTTTCTTCTGGTTTGGCCTATGTAGTGTTTCTCACAGTCCTTGCATGGTATTTTGTATATTACCCCAGTTTTGCCGGTTTTGGGTATGGGATCCTTTACGTTCGTCAGTAGCTGTTGTGGGGTGGTTGTCTGTTTGTGGGCTACTCTGATACCTAGGGGTCTGAGTAGTCTTGTGGTCATCTCAGAAATGTCCTTGATGTATGGTAAGGTGATTAGTGATTCTGGCAGTGTTGTGACTTCTCCTCTTGTGGTCTGTCTCGGAGGTAACGGCGGATTGTGCTTTTTGGGTATCCATTTCTTTTGAAAACTCTAGATAAGTGTTCCTGTTCTGCTTTTTGTGGTTCTGGGTTGCTGCAATGTGTGTCGCTTGTTTAAATAGTGTACTGATGCAGCTCCGACAAATTACATAAGGATACATTGCACTCTTAAAAGCAATGTGTCTTTTTTAAAAAGAAATACATACAAGTAAAAAGATGGCTGAGGATGTAAATTCAGTAAGTGTCTGGGAAAATTCCTTTATGGATTACACGGTGTCCTGAGGGGAGCCATGGAATGTTGCGTATGTTAAGGGAAGTTCAGGCAACAACACTTCAAAGAGAGAGATGCCATTCAAAAAAGAGAACTGTCAAATCCTGGATACAGAGATAATAAGGGACTGATTGCCCCTTTCAACCAGCAAATCAGTCTGTGGACATAATATAAATTGAAAGAAAGACAGTTTTAGGCAAAAGACTTTTTCATGTCTTATCTTTCCAGGCATGTACAAGAAAGGGGACTGGAAACCAGGGATTTTGGTTTTTGTGTACTGGGTTGCTAATGTGCTAGCTTGTGGTTCAGTTCCCATTGTGAAGAGTGCTACAACCTTCCCCAAATAATAATTGGTATTAAATAATAATAAACATCAAGTGTGATCCACTCAAACCAAAACGTAGTTCTCTCATTAGCTGTAAAAAAAGGTCAAAATGATAACTTTTTTATTAATCACCTGTTGCTTTTGATCATATGAGTTCGTAACTTGTTCAACTACAGGATTAGAATGTTTCCCTGGTGCATCTTGATAACAGTTAAGTGATCAATTAAATTGTGTGTGCAGGTAAAAAGAAATAAATTCTGTCATTCAGCTGACAAGTCAAGTCAGCAAAGTCATTGTTGAAAGAAGCTATGGCAACTCCTTTTCAGTTCATAGCAGATCCAAGGATCTCCAAACAACTACTCACCTGACAAAGTCAGCATGATCAGAATCACCCACCTTTAACTGCTGCAGCGTTTCATGGAGTATTCTGCAATAACTGATCATGGCAATGACTTCATAAGATATTCTGGTGAACATCTACCCTTAACTATTGGCAATATTGCATGTCGCAGACAAGGACGAGAAAGCTTTTTTTTTTTAAGTCACTTTGTATTGGAAAGCCATAGAAAAGAGCCTGTGTTGTATCTTCGTTGAAATAACAAAATTAGAAAGGGAGAGGGAAAGGTTTGGCTCGTCCGTTTCAATAAGATAAACTTTGATAAGAGTTTGGCTAAATAATACTAAGCCAAGTAAAAATTGAGATGTGACCTATTCGCTCATTATTGCATGCACTTTCACGTGGTGCAATGTTTGTTAACTAAGCTGAAACATTCAGGAAAGAATTGCAGTTACTAAGTTAATACACAGTTAGAGTTATCCAAGAGAGTTGATATAGATGCAGAAATACAATTGGTGCATAGTAATTTCTTTCCTCCTAGCTTTTTATTTTCTGTTCCTTGTTCAAAAGTTTTCTTTGCTACTAGATGTCTTTAAAGTTTCAAACTCTACCTTTTTATGCATTCCTTTTGTGTATCTCCTGAAGAAAGTTACAAAAAGTAGACCACGTAAACTAGACTAAGACACACAGAGCATACATCTGTATAGCACTTTTCACATCCTCAAGACATCGGCTGCCAACAAATTACTTCTGAAGTGTAGTCATTGTGATTTTGTCGATAAATGCACAACATATTGTTGCATTTAACAAGGTCTCTCAAACAGCAAAGGAAACAAATACCAAGTTAAATTTATTTTGGTAGTGATGGTACTGGAGAAATCTTGGACAGGATGTAGAAAATCCTCCTATTTCTCTTCAAATAAAGCATTGTCTTTTTTTCATATTCATTTGAATGGGCAGACACCCCACGAACTAATAGCCCATCTGACAGCACCTCCAATAATAATAGTTACTATAATAGTGTCAGCTTCATTTTAGAGTGGGGAAAGTAACTTCTAACTGAGGCAAGAGTGCTATTACTGTTTCAGTCTCACATTTGTGGAGAGAACTTTTGGCAACAGTGGTTCATTTGTTTGTCTTCAGTTTGTTGAGAAATGCTGTGTAATTTTATGAAAACTTGTTTCAGTAAAGTTGTTATGTTTTGAAATCAGGTTTGTCCCGTCTGATGAGAAAAAAAAGCAAGGGTGCCAGCGGGAGAATGAAATCCTGATCCAGCGGCGAAAGGACCAGGTACAACCAGGAGGAACCGCCATCAGTGTAACAGTGCCTTATCGAGTGATAGACCAACCTCTTAAACTTTTGCCACAAGACTGGTATGTAGGCCAGTGTTTTTAGATGCTGTCACATTTGGCTCAAAATTTATCTTTTGGTTAACCACTTTAATGTCACTGACAATGGTAACACTTTCTGGTATTGGTTTAATTACTACAGATCATGACTACTGTTTTTACTAGGAGCTAAATAACAATGATTGAAAGAAACTTCAATGTTGGCATGTGGATTAGTGCATGTTTCAAAAAATAGAAAGCCAATTAATTCTCACCTTGTTTTTGTTTTAGTGCTTTTTATATATATATATAAATGTAGAAATCCTGCAAAAATGTTAATTCTTGAATATTGAGAAAAACTAATAGGGTGTATTTTGGTGGTTCCATTTCCTGTGGGGTGAAAGTATCCAAAGGGTGTGATTCCCTTTTATCCTAAGGTTTTGTGTCTAAAGGTGTCATCCATAGGACAGGAAACACACTTCCCAAGATTTCTAATACTCTGAGGAGGTATACAAGAATAATTATTGCATCCCCTTTGGGACTTAACTATGCATTTTCCAACAGCAGCATAACTGAGATTAGAAACCTAATTGTATGTAAACTCAAGACGTAAGCCTACCGTTTGCTATTCTCTGTTTTATAACTAGCCACAGTATCTTTCAGCAACAAATACAGGGTGCATTCCTCGCTGACTAAGAAATACATTTGTTGTAATTTTAACCTTTAATTGGGAACTGAATCTGAGCTCTATTGTTAATGTTTTGGCTCTGCTCACCATGCTACGAAATACATCACTGGAAATTTCAACACTTCCATAAATTGGTGACTTTCTAATGGCCTTATCACCCACATGCCTTGGATTCTGATGTCAAATAAGAATCTGTTCACTGCCTTTTGTTCTGAGCTGAGTGGTATATGGTAGCTGAAATAGGCACAGTAAACATCTATTAAAGAACTGAGTATGCCCAATTTTTCCTAAACAAAATGATGTTTGCATCATATTTTAAAATCACGCCATTCCATTTTCCCATGTTAACTGGAAGCAGTTTATTCTCTCTGTAGCAACTTGCACAAAGTAAATGTAGAGAAATTCAGAGCACAGATGAAAGTAGAGAAGATTAGTGGTGTTAATATATGGACAGGAGAAGCCAGTTATGCGGAAGTAAATGTGGAATAATAGTTTGACAACATGAGTCTAAGTGATCATGAAGTAATAGTGATGTAGCATAGTACTGAAGAAAGATCTCAAGGAGGAAGACTTAGGCTTATGTAGATCCATGGCAGTATGTAGTAGTAGTCTGTAAATAAAAGGTTGTTAAAATGCACTTGTGCTACAGCTGAGTCATTTCAGAGACAAGACACCCCACTCCATCCCCACTCAACTCCACCACCTCTGACCATCACACTGACTGGAAAACAATACATAATGGCAGCAAGGTGGGAGTATATGGAAGTGAAATATTCTGGTGAAGAACCAAGAAGCAACCAGAACTCAAAGAAAGGCTACAATGGTAAAAAAAACCACAGCACAACCTGGCCTCTAGATCAGAGGAAGAGAAGAGGAAAAATCTTCAGATTATATAAACATTTAACTCAGGAGCAGGAATAAGTCATCTGGCCACTCAAATCTACTTTGTCATTCGGTAAGAACATGGCTGATCTGACTCAGCAATGAACAGCTGACATGACCTTAGAGCAGGGTAGGACTGCAAAGTCAGCAGCAGAAGTTTGAGCAGACATTAATCCAGAGAATGGAAGCACCTTCTCTGTTTCTGAAGCAAAGTGATGCTTCAAAGACTTGCAACAAGCATGCTTGGGACAGCTGTCTCAAGTGCTTGCTAGATATTGAACAGCCTTATGGTTACACAAAAAGGACCAGTGCAACCAATTCAGTATCCTGTTCTATGCAATTGCTACCATCGTGGATGATGTGTTGACCAAGTAAGGATGGATGAGACTACAACATTTCACGAAGAAGTCTTGAAAGCCTTTTGGCATATTTTTTCGCTGGCTAAAATATGTAATCGTCCAGCGGGCTAGATTTAGGAAATCAAGGCAGAGACCAGGTAAACCCAGAGATTCTTTCATCAATGACAATGGGCAGCAGAGTGGCTCAGTGGTTAGCACTGCTGCCTCACAGCACCAGGGAGCCAAGTTTGATTCCACCCTTGGGTAACTGTCTGTATGGAGTTTGCACATTCTCCCCGTATCTGCTTCCTCTGAGTGCTCCGGTTTCCTCCCGCAGTGCAAAAACGTGCAGGTTAGGTGGATTGGCCTTTCTAAATTGCCAATAGTGTTCAGGGATGCGTGGGTTAGGTGGATTAGCCATGGGGAATGCAGGGTTCCAGGGATAGGGTACAGGGTGGATCTGGATGGGATGCTGTTTGGAGGGTTGGTGTGGACTTGATGGGCTAAATGGCCTGCTTGCACACTGTAGGGATTCTATGATGATTACCTATGACTCCTGTAGATTAATAGGCAGTTATGTTTATGCTGATTTAAGCAACAAATTAATATGAAACTGTATAATTAATAGTGTGATTGACAAAGCATTGTCAATTCTTTTATCCTGTAAAGAGAGGACTTGATGTTTGCAAAGGAGGTAACATTTGCAAGGCAGTCTGAAATCCATAAGTAAAACTCAGGCAAAGCTCAAGGCAAGGTGGAGGTTCCATGGTTGTATCCAAGTGAGTTGGTATTATATGTAGGCCTGAGATGGGAAACCTTGCCGAAACAAGAACAATTTACCCACATCAGTTCACCTGTCTTGTATCTCTTTGAAGGCTCCTTTTGTCCTCTTCACAATTCACTTTCCTAGTTATCTTTGTGTCAGCAGCAAGTATAGCTGCCATACCTTTGATCCCTTCACCCAAATCATTTATATAAATTGTGAAGACTTGAGGCTCCAGCACTGACCCCTGTGACACACAGCTTCTGACATCCTGCCTGCCCCAAAAAAAAACAACTTATTCCTACTTTTTGTTTCTCATTAGCAAGCCAGTCTTCTATCCATGCCATTATGTTATCTCCTACACCATAAGCTTTTATTTTCTGCGTTAAGCTTTAATGTGGCGCTTTATCAAATGCCTTTTGGAACCGTGAGAACAATACAACACTGGTTCCCTTTATCTATAGCATGGGTTACTTTTTCAAATGACGCCAATAAGCTAGACATGATTTCCCCTTCACAAAACCGTTTTGGCTCTGCATGATTGCCTTGACTTATCCAAGTGCTCTCTTTTAGAGTCTTTAATGATAGCTTCTTCCTGTGACAGATGAAACGCTAATTGGCCTGTAGTTTCCTGCTTCCTTCCTCCCTTTTTGAATAAAGGACATAGATTAGCTATTTTCTAATCTAAAAGAGCCTTCCCAGAATCTAGTGATTTTAGGAAAATTAAAACCAATGCATCAGCTATCACACTAGCTTTTTTTGAGAATCCAGGGTGAAATCCATCAGGACCTGAGGACTTGTTCAAAACCGAAAGAACTGCAGATGCTGCAAGTCAGGAACAAAAACAGAAGTTGCTGGGAAAGCTCAGCAGGTCTGGCAGCATCTGTGAAGAAAAAAAATCAGAGTTAACATTTTGGGTCCGGTGACCCTGACAATTTCAACAATTTACTCAGGACGCTTCTTTGGTAATGGTAATTTTCTTGATTTCCTCCTCACCTTTCAGTTTCTGATTTACTGCTATTAACGGGATGCTACTTTTATCCTCTGTAGTAAAGACTGATGCAAAATACCTGTTGAATTTGTCTGCCATCTCTTTATCCTACATTACTAATTCCCCAGACTCATTTCCTATTGGATCAACAATTTGCTAACTCTTAACTGCTGTAAATATCTGCAGAAACTCTACTGATCTGTTTTATATTTTTGGCTAACTTTCTCTTTTACCCTGTTTTCCCTCCTTACTAATCTTCAAGTAATTCTTTGCTTTTAATAATATTCTGCCCAATCTTCTGACCAATCTTTGCAAGAATTATGTCTTTTCTTTGGATTTGATACTAAGTTTGACCTTTTTTTGTTAACCATAGATGGTGGGTCTGTCCCTTAAAAGTTTCCTTGTTTGTTGGCATATATCTATTCTGCGTTTTCTGGAATATCCCCTCAAATATTTGCCGTTGCTTCTCTACTGACCTAATTCTTAACGTAAAATTTCGGTTCTCGTTTATTAACTCTGCTGTCGTGCCCTCATAATTGCTGTTATTTTAATTCAATATAGTAGTTTTGGACTCATACTTCTAGCCCTTAAACTGTACGTAAAATTCAGTTATAGTATGGTCACTGCTACCGAGGTATGGTTTCACTATGTGGTCAATCCAATCTCATTGGTCAGAACCAGATCCAGTGTAACCTGCTCTCTCATCAGTGCCATAACATGCCGGTCTAAGAAATTGTCCTGAAAACTTGAAATGAATTTCTCCTCTAGACTGCTTTTTCCCATCTAATTTTTCCAATCTCTCTGCAGGTTAAAATTCCCCATGATAATTGCTGTACCCTTTTGACAAGCTCCCATCATTTCTCCCTTGACAGCATGACTTATCATGTGGGTACTGTCAGGATGCCTGTGCACAAATTCCACAAGTGACTTCTTGCCTTAATCATTCCTCATCTCTACCCAGATTGCTTCTATTATCGTGGTTTCCTGAATGCAGGTCATCCCATGCTACTTTTAAAAAATTTGTTCATGGGATAAAGGCTTTGCTGGCTAGGCCAGCATTTATTGCCCATCCCAGAGAACATATAAGAGTCAACTGCATTGCTGTGGGTCTGGAGTGTGGTAAGGATGGCAGGTTCCTTCCCTGAATTCCACCATCTGCCATGGCAGAATTTGAATCCAGGTCCCCAGCACAATAACTCCATCTCTGAATTAATCATCCAGCAATAATACCACTAGGCTATTGCCTCCTGTGATAGTACTAATATCATCTTTAATTAACAGAGCCACTTCCCTATCTTTTCCTTGTTTCCTGTCCTTCCTAAATGTCAGTTACTTTTCAATGTTCAGGTGCCATTCTAGTTATCCTGCAGCCACATCTCAGTT